TGCATTGAGCTCCTGCCTACTCATTGAGTCTATCTGCCCCCTCCCCCCCCCAGATAACCATTAGATAAGGGACTGGGTTTTCTCCCGAAGTATTCCAAATTCTGATGAAAGGAGCATAACTCCTATCTCTGCTGAGAGTTGAGCTTCAATTCCTCAGTCGGTCAGCCCATAACCTATTTATTATGCTAACTGAACTATTCCAGCTCCTTCATTATCCTGGCAAACCACTAGCAGGAAACGAATGAGGCTATGAAAGACCTCAGTGAGGATGGCTTCTTTCATGTACTCGTACAATAATAGAAACGGGTGCCTACAGAATATCCTTAGTCTAAATTTCGAAACATTTCGGCTCATAGTTGGAGAAAGACATAATAAATTCTAATTTTCTTAATGATGCTGAAACATTAGATTAAATTATTTGGCTTGCTTGATAGAGGTGGCAATGAGTATTATCCGTTTTCTGTCGTATATGAACGACTCACATAAAAAAAAACGAATTTCCTAGTCATTCGAAGTGGAACCTTACAACAATGTTTGCTATAAAACCTTTATGAAATTACCAGGTTTTGAACTGCGAATATGTCAGTGGGAAGTCAGGAAATAAGCCATATGAAATTTCACAATCTGTGTATTATTGCTATAGAAATTTAGTCAGAGTTAATATGAATTATAGTTCTATTTCTGTTTTATGCAGATGGAGAGACGTCAGAGTGGCGTCACATGCTGGATGTTAACGTGCTGGGGCTCAGCATCTGCACTCGGGAGGCGATCCGCTCCATGAAAGAGCGTGAAGTCGCAGATGGACATGTCTTGCACATCAACAGGTACCAGCTGGGAACAATTTTCGGATCACAAACAAAACGAATAATAAGCTAATTACTAAAAATAATGATTTTACCATAACTATGTGAACAACTTGTTTCCAACAGTTGATATTTTTTGTTATGCTTTAGTATTTCAGGCCACGGTTTGCCCCAAAGTGCTGCAATGCTGTACATGTATGGGGCATCAAAACATGCTGTCACAGCACTAACAGAGGGGCTTCGCCGTGAACTGGTTAAGAGCAACTCCAAAATACGTGTTACGGTTAGTGTGATATTATGTTTTACGTGCTAAGAATTCCAACATATTTAACGGTATCTAAACCTATAAACTCAATTGCTGTAAACAGAGTCTTAGTCCTGGTTTGGTGCGCACGGAGATCATGGATGCTGGTCACATGCGCACCTTCACGTCACGGGATGTTTTCTCTGGAAATCCCTGTCTCGATCCTCAGGATATCGCCGATGCCGTGCTCTATGTTTTAGGAACTCCACCGCATGTTCAGGTAATCACTTCAGTTATTCTGTGGAAAGGGCTTTGGACTTCTCAGAAACTAGAAAACTATTGATACTGAAGAAAAATATTACTCACACAAAAACTTCTGAGTTGATATTTGCTCACTCACTTATGGAGTTGAGCCCTTCTTGAGAAGCTGCCAATTGTGGAGCCACTCAAGAATTTCCCAGCACTTTATGGAATCTGAAGGTTTATTACCGTGCTCACAAGAGCTCTCCACTGGTCCCTATCCTGAGCCAGATCAATCCAATCCATACCAGCTTATCATATCTCTCTAAGATCCATTTTACTATTGTCCACACACCTACGTCTTGGTCTTCCAAGTGGTCTCCTTCCTTCCGGCTTTCCCACAAATATCCTATATGTACTCCTCCTCGCCCCCATTTGTTCAACATGCCCTGCCCATCTCATCCTCAGCTTGATCATTCTAATTATACTTGGGGAAGAGTAGAAGTTATTAAGCTGCTCATTATGCAGTTTTCTCCAACCTCCTGTCACTTCATTTCTCTTCGGTCCAAATATTCTCCTCAGCACCCTGTTCTCAAACACCCTCAGTCTGTATTCCTCACTTAAAGTCAGAGACCAGGTTTCATATCCATACAGAACTGATATTTGTTACATAAATTTATATGTATTATGTTTATGGTTGCTGAGTCTACGGAGTTTGTATTTCAGTCTTTAATGAAGTCGATTGAAATTATCTTATCACATATGAAAATGTAAATCTAATGGTCCTTAGTCCATTTTTTTTTCAAGCGATGGATGGTTACGTGTAAAGTTCCAGCCAAGGAGTATGGTTATAGTGATGTACTGGCCGTCATTCGTATATCAAGGGCGGTTAGAAATGAACATTTGTGACTACGTTTGTCAGTAGTGAAGACATAAAATTAGAAGTCACTCTAAGGAAACGAATGTAAGGTTAGGTACACTCTAAATCAATGTTACTTATTTGTTTTCCAGATACATGAGCTAACAATTATTCCAACTGGACAGAAGTACTGATGTTCTTGGCAAAAAAGAAATTCAACTTTTGTGTTATTTGCTCTGTACTGTTTTTTTATAAACTATAAATAAACTATCCTGTCAATAAATATTAATTTTGTAATAAGCATAATATTGGCTGTTGTATGGTCATTCAAATGTATTCAGTTCACCATATATCCTTATCCATATACTCCCGTCTAGTATATTCATTCATACCTTCTCCAATGTCAATAAGCAGCAACTCGTTATTGCAGAAATTACGTATGACTTGTAGAAGTAACAATTTCCCGAAAACTTCGGGTTCTCCTACGCGATATGATATGAAAGTAATTACTGGACATTAACATGATTTTCCAGCAGTATAAGAAGTGCAATTGCCCCAAATAATGGATTCCAAGTTCTAATGCTATCTTACGATGGATAATTTATTATATTCTTCTGTTCGCTGTCCTCTGTGGCATGCCGTGAAATGTTGAAATTTTCTTCGAACTGCTAGTAAGTTAGAAGATGGTGTAAACTGTGGCTAAAATAGTTCAAGTGTAACAAGTGCATTCTGAGTCACAGGAGAATTGAAACTTAGATTTAGACATCCGTTTACTTAAATTTCCTTTATATCAAAGGGCGTAAGATTCTTCTATTGATTTTGTTAAAAATGTGTTCCTGAAATCTGAGGAAAAAGAAAAGGAATAGAAAGGTTAAATGTTCACTGAAAAGAAGCACGATGAAATTGCTGGTGGACTTGAATATTCCATTGAGGGTCCTTTCAGGCGCCTTGCACAAGAGATTAGGGATTCACCTTCATACTTTTATGAAACAATACCTCAGCGCTAGAATGGAAACTGTTACGGAGATGCGAGCATTGCATGCATAACAACTCAGAATATTTCAACCATCTGCTGCGATCTGAGAAGGTCTTGTCTTCGTCTTCTAAACTCTAAAGTTTCAGACCAGTAAGGAATTCTCCCAGTACCTCTTAATTTTCTCGAATACCCGAAATTAGATTTGTCATCGTTGATGCGGTTTACTCCCTTCGCACTTCCCCTCCCCCCAACATGGAGAACCAAGAACTTAGATTTTAGAGTGTCGGAGAAGCTACCTTCATTACGCCTGTCAAGCATTCTCTGCTCATTGCGGATTTATGAGTATCATAGCCTCGCCATTCTCTTTTGGCAATCTGGCACTCTCTCAGCGTAATTATCTGTGTCATTAGGTCGATTGAGGCCCCTCGCAACAGCAAACTGACAACTCTAAGAGGTCTGAGTAACTTCTGTTTGTAATTCCTCAGGACACAGAATTGTTGTTTCCGCTACCAGCGGAGCAGAGAGAACACACATTGCTCGGTGTGAGTGGCTTGCCGATTTCGAGGAAGCCCTAAGGTGATTTCATAATAATGAAATAAACTTAATAAAGAATTATATGAACAAAAGAAGTATTCTATGTTAAATTTTTCGAACTGACCAAATATACACTCAAGGAAAGAAAAATAAAAACTGTCCAAATCTCTAATAAGCACCATTCTATTGAAACACACAGGGGATCTGATGTTCAGTTGCAGTCTTTTTTAACTTCAGCACTAAAAGGAAGTAACTGGTTGGCTTCGAACTACTATAGTACAAAGGCAAAAGAAAATATTTGTACCTTCCAGGGTCAAATTCACGTAATGATGAACTTGATTATTTATGCAGACACCCAGGATTCTTAGGGTAGTGACATGAAGGAATTAACAACGACTTTGAAGACCTAGAAGCAGGTGGGAAAGTAACATCTCGATTAATATTACGGAACCTCAGGTGCACAAGATGGATGGAAATGACTCGGGATCGGTCTAAATAGCGAGTTTTACTATTAGGCCTATTATATGGTATTACCGGAGTTCAACCTTTGCGTTTCAATCCATGGGTTCTACGACGGTTCAGTGAGTACAACTGAAATATTTTTTGCTCGTCATCCCATACGGTTTAACTGTCATCAATGAACGTGACACGTTTACCTGCTAAAAGTAATGACTCCACCTCCACAATGAGAATTATGAAAAACAAGTATCACACTAGTCAGACTCATTCCTGTTGGAGGAATTCTCAGACACAGCAGATTTCCTGCACATTCAATTTCGACATAAACAGAGAACACGATTGTGAACTAGGGTATTATTCATCTTGCAGATTCCAGGCAGTTTTTCCTTTTCTGCAGAAGCCATGACTTCATTTTCAAGCTTGGTAGCTGTGTAGTTCCCACGGGAACCGGAAGCGGCAGAAGAAACTGATGGCCAGAACGTAGGCTACAAAATGTGACTTAATTTTTAAAATATATCATTCATACGCAACAAGGAAATCAGAGCTGAGTGGAATGTTTATTACTTACAAATGAGATTGCATTCTGTTCATAGGTCCGTTTAAAGAAGTAGGCAGGCAGGCAGGCAGGCAGGCAGTGAGTTTGAAGAGTCCAAGAGTGTTTTCAGTCGAGTTTCGAGGTTCCAGGCTGACTGAACAAGAAATGGCAAAAAAAGACTTAGTAGTGATTTGAAGTGCTAGTTTCTGTGCTGAGATCCGTTGCCAGAAGACGATTAGTGGAAACTGAGAAACCCAGTGCGTGTGTAACAGTGAACTGTAAAGTGTATAAATCATCCTCAGCTCTGTATTAAATGTAATTAAGAGAGGTTTTAAGAGAAGTGCCAATAAATCCAATCATCCGAACTATATTTTTTTTTGTTATTGCTAGTGGGGTGGGACTAAGTCCCTTGTATTGCGGCCACTTCTGGCCTATTGTACATGTCCCGGGTGAATATGCTGAAGGAGAATTTGGTGGAATGAAGATTGGCAGGGGAAACCCAAGTACTCGGAGAAAACCCGCCCCAGCGCCACTTTGTCCGCCACAAATCCCACTTGACCAGACCCGGGATCGAACCCGGGCCTCCGCGGTGGGAAGCCAGCGACTAACTGCTTGAGCTATGGTGCGGTCCATCACCCGAACTAGAACCCGATACCTCCGTCACGCATATCCCCTACATGTTACAGCATTTCGTAGTTAAACATATTCAGAATATAATTAACAGACTAAACTAATAATATTGATGAAGAGTTCTATCTTCTTTGATGTAACGGCGTGTAGTCCGTCGAAATTCAACCGACTTTTCTGAGGAACATTTTGTCACAAAATTCAGCGTTGATGAATAAGCCAAGAAAGAAGCCGGCATGAAGCAGGTAACAAGCAAAGCTGAAGTTTCTTTCTCGACTTATTCTTCGAGCTTGAAAATGGTCACATCTGCCTCCCAAACGTCTGTTGCCTTGCAGCGAGCTACACAGCTTTATATCACAAAATATGGAACTCTTTACAACTACCAGCGTGAAAACCCTATACACAAATAGTATTGATGTACATCGGATAAGTTAGAAAGTTTCTGTCATCAAAGCCTTAACCGCCTTGTACATAACTCACTGATTTCCAAGTATTTCGAGGTTCGGTCACTTTGTAATCAATTAATCTCAGTTGATCGGCTACACCGTAGCCCGTAGCTACACCAACTGAGTTATCCGGGTTCCCAGCTTTTCAAATTACATTAATTTATTTAACAAGCCAAGTAGAAAATCTGTAAGTCAGAAGAAAGTTTTATTTTAGGAACTAACCCCCAAATCGGGACGAAAGGTCACTTTAGTTGAGAAGGCACACCGAGGAAGGCAACTGCTACGTAGACGGGTACGGAAAGAACCGGTTGATTCTTCCTCTGAATCGACTACAGGTGAAGAATAAAGACGAATTGCCACACACGCCGAAAGTTACTCACGCTATCCTTTCAAATACTCAAGCGAAAGTTTAATGATAATCTGTTTTTTCTCGTTGCACATATTTTATTCTCAAAATAAATTACATAAATTATACGTACAAGTCGTGCAGGACCTTGTTCAAGAGGAAGCGTCCGGTGTTCTTTGTACTGAGAACAATCACATATTATTTTACTAAACGGAACCGTATTATTGTTGATGTAATGGCATTGAGTGCTTGAACTTCTGATGAAATGTCAGAAGAAGAAGTAGGAAGTAACTCCATATAGTCCAGCGTAAATTCATTGTCGTTTCGTGGGGGGACACACTATGTCCATTTTCAGATCAAAAATTAGCCAAGTAGCCGACAAAAGCAGGCGGTAAGCCAAGCGAATCGACTCACAAGATAGAAGAAACATGTTCCTCCGAAATGTCGGTGAATCATCAGAATACCCGACGTTATTTTCCGGACGATACTACTTTTTTAGTCACCACTACGGTAACCTTTATCAGCGAAATGATGGATGATTACAAATTAAAAGTTGGAAAGTATCATGGGCTGCTAGGCTAGAAATTCGTGTTCTGCTATCAAATGTGCTTCTTTTGATTTGGTGTTCTAACCATGTATGATGCACTGCCAATTTCAGATGCAGAGAACAATATCTTCAAATTTTACTGACTCCAGTCACCTACGTTCCCCCAGGACACGGATCGCGAACGCGAGAACGCCAGACAGTTGGTCGTACAAACGTAAGAATAACACTGTTTTGTTGTATGTACATCAGGGCTTGAGGTGGGGCGGGATGCGGCGGGATAGTATCCCGGTTCTTTTCTAAATGGCTTAAAAGCATCCCGTTACTTCTTTGACAGTAAATGCCTATGAATTAAAAGGGGAAAACCATCCCGGTTCTATTTTCATTCCACCTCAAGCACTGACTATAAATATAGAATATGCTACAGCATCCAGTGCTCACCATTATCATCATCTGGAAAGCAGTGCGTGTTGACAGGCATGCCTGCATTATGACACTGCAACAAACTGGTTAAAATAATTTTGTCACCAGGGTCAGGGAGAGCCACAGTACAGTGAAGACTCTATCTAATCTGACTTAGCTGTCTACCATGATTATGCTGCTAGATTAACTGTTAGATTAGTATCCAGATTACAGAAACAGTACAGTATCTGCATACAGATATTAAGATTAAGCATCCAATGAAACAGGTTATAAATAAACGGTCTGAACACAAATTCGTAACTACAAAGAGAACATTTAATTATTTCTTATTCACTACATGTTTCAACCATCTCGTGGTCATCATGTGAAAGGCATACATTAATGCAAGCAAGAATGGTCTGTAGTGGAAACATAAATAGCATAGAA